ACTTAACGACACAGTAACAACAACAGTAAATACACAGTTTATATAAAGCTGGAATTTGACTGCTAATTCTTCAGTTGCTATGCAGGAGAAAGATGGGCCTTTGGATTGGAATATGTTGTGGCAGTTCTACTTTTATTTACAGAATCATTATGAGTCAGAATTGACTTAATGTTGATTTGGGTTTTGGTTGTGTGTTTTGTATTGTTTTTTAGTTTCTTGAAAAGAAAAAGCGATGTATCAAATAGTAATAATAATAAATAGTGTACATATTGAGTAGTTCCAGGACAGGAATTTGGCATTACCACTCCATGGTCAGATCACCTGAAGAGTATATTAATACCTCCTTACAATACAGATACTCTGATGGCCTAGTTTTGCTTTTCTCCTTTTGTTTCTTGAAAACATACTAATAGAAATCTTTCTTGAAAGTCTAGTTTTGAAAGGCAACAAAGTATGTGTGTTTATTTTCAGACTTCAGTTTTAAATGACTTAGTTTTAAAAGCCTTGGGCGTTTTGTTACCTCAGCTCATTCCTTTGGTTCTAGAGTTGCCATTTTACCTGACTTAGGAGCTGCCTTATCAGTCCTCTCTGAAGTTGTCTGAGTTTTTTTGAATTTACAAATGATTTTTCTGTTGTTATTCTTATTTCTTTTATTTATATTTTAAATTCTTTCTTTAGTTGTTGATATTACCATATCTTAACAACAATTTACTACTAGTCTAAACTAAATAATGAAGGAGCTGAGTACTTAGTCTACTTACTGCTTCCAGTCTTCCATCCAAACTAACTCTTGTCCTACTTCATTCTTAAGCAAACTTTTTGAGAATGTGAGTGAGACTGATTTAGGTAGCATTAATACTGGAGCTCTTTTTCCTTAGTGGTAAGGAATTGCGTTGCCAATGCAAAGGTACATGGTTTGAATCCACCAGCTGCCCTGTAGGAGAAAGATAGTATCCTCCTATATAATTTACTGCCTCTGAAATCCCGCTGGTGGGTCAGGTGAGTCAGTTCAAACTCAGTGGCACATAACAACAGAATGACAATAGTGTTAAGCTAACCTGTCTATTAAAAAAAATATGTTGCATTAAAAAACCCCAAGACTCATTGTTATGACTCATTCATAACAATCTTCTATTGAGTTTATGACCGTATAAATAAAAATTAAAGTGGGCTACCTGCCTTGTGGAGCTGTTGGAGGATTTGAAGTGCTGTAGATACGAGGCCTTTGAATTAGCAGCACAGTTCACTCTGGACCATAGCATCAGAGCTCGTACATGCTGCACAGTTCTTATGGAATCAGAAAATACCTTGATGAAATCCTTTAAATATGTACTCAAGAAATTTTAAGAAATATTAGTTATATAAGTTAAAATAAAATTGGAGTTTAGTTTTCATTTTCAATTTTCAGCTGCCAGTTTAAGTTTAATGAACAAGTGAAGCCAGTAACTTCAATATAATATTGACATACCTTTGATATTGACAAATACTCTGACTTTATTCCAGGAGGAAAATGTGAATACCATGCCCTTTTATACCACAGTAAGCATATTTTGTCAGGTTTCTCAAAATAGATCCTTTATCCAACTATACCGTATCACTTCTGTTACTTTCACCATAGGGTGAGTCACCATGACGTCGCATCTAGATTATTGCACCTCTTTTTTTTTTGTCCTTTTTAACTTACATTTTTTCCTATTTCATTTACGTTCTCTAATTGATTTTTTTACATCTACTTTTGTCCCTTGATAAGAGCCTAGTTAGCAGTGGGCTGCTGACCGAAAATTTGGTGGATCGTAGCCTTGGTTACTCCTCAGAAGAATGATATTTCAGTCCACTCCTATTACCTCAGAGACCCTGTAGAGCAATTCTGCTTTGTCTTACAGGGTCACTGAATTGGACTCACTTGATGGCAGTCAGTAACATCAATTCTTCATTCTTCACAGAGTATCTGCAATATTTTTTTTTAAGGATTATGTACCTGTTTTGTCACTTAACACTGCTTTCACATCACTACTGGCTTTATATTTTATATCCGAGTCCTTTTGGTGACCTTTGTGACACTACAACTTGATCCACATCAGTATGACTCCAGTTCTACATTTTTACACTTAGCTCATGCTGCTCGATAACGCTGATTGCTTTCTGTGTCCTCCATACTGAATCTCTTCCTATAGGTTTTGCCTAATTAAGTGCTTGCTTCTCTCCTTGATTATTATCTCCCACCATTATACCATCTCTAACTATTCTAAAATATTCTACTCCATTCATTTATTATATATGACATTAAAGAAGACTGTTCTTTACAATTAAATCTAGTTTTATGTAAAACCTTCATTGCCATCTTCATTTCTCTACCTCCCCTCCTGTTAGGCATGGATCAGAATTCTTTGTCTCATTCTAACAACTCCCGTGACTACTGTTTGAGTTGCACTTATGGTACAGTTACACTCTTAGAAATCTTCTGTGTTATTTATTTGGTGAAGCACACAGGCCAAAGATGAAGTTCTACGTGTTTGTGTTTGTTCTCTTTTTTTTGTTTCTCACACATAAATACATAAATTGTGACCCTTGGAGAAGTCTTGCATTAATGAAAGAAAACGGTTTTCCTCTGTCTAGGATGTTTTATATGGTTAAAACACCAAAACCTCTTTGTGTGGTATTAATAATGAACTCCATTTGTCCTTCTTTATGGTTACTTTTAATTTTTGAGTTCTAGTGTATAACAAATCTATCTTGGAGGAGGCATAACCAGGGTGTGTGCTTCTTAGAGGCAAGAATTGTAAAACTTCATGTCACATGCTTTGAATATATTGTCAGGAGAGGAAGACCTTCAGTGAGATAGACTGATACCATGACTACAGCACCGGCCTGAGCATGGTGTAAATGCAAGGATAGCACAGGATAGGGTAGGGTTCAGATCGGATGTTTATAGGGTTGTTATGAATCATAGTCAGTTCAGTGGCACCTAACAACAACAGTGTGTAACTAGGGCACTCTAGTGGTATAGTCTGTAGGGAATTACTAACTCTGAGTGGTTCCAATCCACCAGCAATTCTAAGGGAGGTAGATGGAGAGTCTCCACTTGAGTGATTTCTAGTCTTGGAAACCTAATGGTGTCAGCTGTGAATCAATTGGGACTTGGATATAGAGAGAATGTGTAACTAGTTTTGATGACAATGTTTTAGAAAGCCTTTCAGTGAAAGCCTACTTTTGAATTGATTTATGTGTATAAAACTATATTTATATAAAATGTGATGGTAGATACTGAAATGTTAACCTGAAATGTTACTAAATTCTCTAAATTTCATGAAATTTATCCACATTTGTTCTTTGTTATAATTAGAGTTTAATAGCTCATTGTTGTTAGGTGCCATCTAGCAAAAACCCATAAAGGGAATTACGTGGAACTTTGAATTTTGTAAAACAAACCTAAAATATCATGTGTAATGACTCAATTTATAGATTATAAAATGTTTTCTGTTTCTTCTCTGATAACAAAGAAAAACAAGCAACTTCTTTTTCTCCTCCTTCCTCCCTCTCAATTAGAGACTACTTTGCTGGGTTATTGAATAGACATATGGAATTAAAAATTGTCAAATAGCTTTCATAAGATTCATCAAGGAGGTGGTTATACAAACAAGACTTAAGTTTAGTAAATCAAGACTTTAAAAAAATTACCTTTTTGTATTTTAAACCTAAAGGGATACTCAAATGTGATGCAGAATAGTGATATAATTTCCCCAAGACTGTGTTCTTACCTAACTGTAGCTTTCTCTGCAAATTTAGCAGGAGGGATAGTTAAATACTTGAGTTTTTGACAAACTTAACAGAATTTAAGATCTAAAACAACTACTAAATAGTATGATACTTTCAAGAAACTTGGACCTGATATTTGGCTTTTAGAATCTGCATCACATCAGTTCATCTTAGCTCTTGATAGATGATAGTAACTACTGTGTGTCCTTCTGAAATTGTATGTATGTAAGGAAAATTGTAAACATATATTTACAGTTGAAGGAATCATCCTTAGGAGTATAAGAGAGACATCAAATGTGAGAAGAAATTCACCCAAAAAGTTTGCTTATTAAAAAATATAATTACTTTGTATTCAGTCCTTGAAAATCTCTTACATTATATGTAGTTTATTTTTACCTTCAGTTACATATCATTGTTAACAGGAAAACAGAATTTATCTTAAGTTATATCAGTGAATTACTAGTTATGGAGAACTTTAGAGGTCCTCTTAAAAGAAGTAGTATTAGCACAGATTTAGAAATTATTTTTTGTGTAATCTCAGAATTAGTAGTGTTAGATCTTATAACGACTTAATAGGCTATAATCACGTTATTGATAAAACTTTATACCCATATCATGAATGAGCAATTGTCCTACTGTTAATACTAATGAGTATTTACGGATTGAAAGAAAATTTCTGTTATGCCAATATGAACTGATTCCAGAAATACTGTATCTCAGATTAATTTATGGCTGAAAACAATAGGCTCTGAAAAACAGATAAATTAAAAAAGTATAGTGATCACAAAAGCACTAATATTGAATATAGGTGCAGTTATTCTCAGATGTTTTTATATTTGAGGTTGCAGTTTTTCAAGATCAAGTGACTTGTACAGGTTAGACTTTAAGAGTCTTTCAAGATTTGGAAATCAATTTGCTGTACACTATATTGATATAGTTAGAATTGTGATTTTTGTCACAAGCCTCATTAGCCCTTAGGGGTTTAAAAAACATTTTATTTTAATTATTTGTGGTTTTTTTGTTTTGTTTT